GAAATCCTCAAAAAAAAAAGAGAGCTGTGATTATTTTGATCAACTGAGGCTTTTGTCTTTAGAGAAACCAGTATCTCTGCTTCATTCTGTGACTGATTGACTTAAGAACATTGAGTGAGTTTAGACAGAAGCCCCTTCTCTTTGATTCTGATGGTTTGGTGCTAAAAGTGGGTGTTGATCAGCACAAGATGGAATCTTAAAGGTTTGTCTAAAGATATTCAGGTGATTGTGTGAAGTAAAAAAGCAACAAATCCTTACAACTGAGGTGCTGGAACAGTCGATGGACTACAATCATTTGACAAGAGCCAAACCTTCCAACTAAAGACTAAATTTGTTGCTCCATAGAAAATGTAATTTTAATAATTGATTTTTAATGATCTTTAAATGATAACTAATGATCTTTTAATGTAAGTCATTTATTACCTGCCTGCCAATCACTCACTGCCTTCCAGGTTCAGAAATGTGAGGTTTCCCTACTTTTCTGTGGTGGATTGTGAATAATTATAAATTGGAATCAAATACTAATGGATTTTGAAATAAACACATTTTGCAGTGCCACCGTGTGCTCCGGTAACTCTGTTAGGATGAGTGCAATAATCCCCCTATGCCCCAAGTCCAACTTTTGACCCTTCTAGACTATTTTCAGCAGCCTGTTTCTCTTATAACTATTTATTTTTTGAGTTTCCAAGCTATGCAGCAGGGCCCACTAAAAGACTGAAGACAGACCTTGAATATGATGCCACAGAGTATGAGGCTGAGGCAGAGATGGAGTATGCACCGCCAAGCAGAGAAATTGCCCTGGATAAGCCCAGCAAAACCTTGTTTATAGACTGGTATGAAAAAGTTCTTTCAATAGTGACCTAAAACTCTGATAGTGAACTAAGTCTTATTCAGAGCCTGAAAATCCTGTTTACTGGGCTGTTTCTTATGCGCAGTATTGTCTGCGGTCCTTGCAAGCATCAAAAGCTGTCTGACTCCGCTGTAGCCGCTGGAAACCGACACATCCAGATAAATAATAAACTAATTATTGTGGACAGCAAAAGTCCATGTCAGTGTAACAGCTATTTTTGAAGGGCACAGGCTTTTAAAATGGATTTTTGCAGCAAATAAATAGCTGTGACAGTATAAACCTGTGTAATTACAGAGTAGAGATTTGCATTAGGTAAGATGATTATGAATTCTGCTGGATTATAACTATGTGATCATGATTTCACGTTACTGTGGAGCAAAGCTTCAGGACAATGGCAGCATTTACAGTAGATGCTGGAAAACATATTTACTTCGCTTAAATTACTTCCTTCCTCTTTTTGCCTTTTATGACCATTTAAAAACCCCTTCTCTGTTACTGATTAGCCTCCCAGTAGTGGTTTTCCTCACCAGTGAAGGTAACAAACCTCACAGTTGGTAAAAGCATTTATAGGCTCATGGCTGCTTTCTCATTATGAATCAACTGAAAGAAAAATAAATGTGACTAAAACATGGATGTGTAAATGGAGAGCATGGGTGGCTATGTAGACTTTGAAAGATTTCTTCTGTTCAACCAGCGCTGCTGCAATTTTAATGGCTTGTCGGTTTGTCCAGATGGTTTATGCAGGATGTTGTGTATCTGAGATTGTGTGTAATAATTGAGGCTATTGGTGAAGCAGGACTGAAGGTGGATCTAATTAAGGTTAAAATGAAATACTCTGACATTTCCAACATATTCCTTTTTCCACCAAACTCCAGACATACGTTGCTCCCTGGCAACTTGACATGTGTGAGCAACAGTGTCAACAGTATAAATGTAATATCAAAGCTAATATATGATCAAGGACACACAGGCTCTTAGATTGAAATCTTAACGACCAACACCCTGGAAGAAAGATGTTCTTTGGTATCCAAGATGAACAATTTTGTCACAGACTTGCATACTGCTCTTAAGCTTTCTTTCTTTTCTGCATAAAAGTCTTTTGTACAGAAGCTTTGCTTGTTGCTCGGAGGCACAAGCACATGTTTACCGGAGGGAAGAAAACGTTTGTGCATGAGTCATCTCAGCTGAAGATGTGATTTGTTCATACTGTAGCGCAAGGATGTGGCAGGTTGTTCCTCTGGATTCCATTTTTTTACACTGCGGCGAGTGAGACGTTGTGAGATTTAACCCAGCTCAGCTTTGCACTTTCATCTTTTTCCATAAATTGGTTAAAGACTGTGTTGAACCTATTGTTACAGGTTGTTTCAGATGAAGCATCAACATTTTAGAAGTTAATACTTCATTTGTCATTGTGCTGGTTTAAATGCTTAGAGAAGAAACCTGAAACTGAAAACAAAAAGTCAAATCTGTAGGCAATGTGTTCATGGCTGCTTGACTTCAGTCATCACCTTCTAGAGCATTATACCAAAAGATTTATTATTTAGTAAAGTGCATTTTGGATAAATATCTTACCGTGGACTTTTTTATATCATACCATTAAATTTTGGTATCATACCATCCCACTGCAGGGTTTAACACGTTCTCTCTGATTTAATAGTTTTGAAGAGATTCAGTACAGATTTGATGATTTTTGGTGTTTAGGACCTTGGCAAAGCATTGTCGTGTTGGGGCAATGCACTGGTATTCTATTACTTTTAGTTTAGCAAAACATGTTTCCTATTAATACAGATATACAATAGACCTAATGAAATTTCATCTTAACATAGAGCATAGTTTGTTTTTATTGACTTCAGAATCTCTACGTTGGTTTTACAAACTGACTGTCAAGAGAAGAAATGTCATCTTCATTTTTGATCCATGTGATTTGCTGCCACTATGTAGCTGCTGCTGATATGACCCAAGATCCTTCTAGTGAATCTCTGGTACAGTTGTTATACCAGTAGGAATCATTGGAGTGTGCTCTCTCTGAACATCTGTCTCTCTGATGTTTGATAAATTGTGTCTAAGTGCAGCTAAATTAGGGCATTCTGGGGGTTTTAATGGAAATCATTAGTGTCCAGAGGGTTTGGAGGATTTTTCCATCCAGATTGGACAGAGGTTCTCGAGGAATAATAACTCTGATTCATGCATCTGTTCATGCTAAAACTCAAATCTTTGGGACTATTTTTAACAGTACAGGTCCGGAGGTGGAATAAATTAAATTAATTGGCGATGACATAATCCTGCCATCATATCATGGAAAATACTGTTCATTGAGAAATGCATTGTCATCTCATTATCCAATTATCATAGCCTGTTCATTAACAGTCACCACAACTTTCTCCCAAGCAGTACTGCCGACCTTCTGACTCGACTAAACTCACTGTTTCCACTGGTATTCCTCAGTGGCAGCCTGCCACACCTAAATCTATGCCAACACTGAGAAGAAAAAAGTCAATCCACCCGATCAGTCATCTAATCGAACTCCTTGGTGGCTGTCTGGGAGGCTGTGCTAGTCACATACACAGGTGCAATTAAGGCCAAATACCTTTCGTGAAGCATAATGTCCACAGACAGCTATTTACATCACACTAGTGGCCAGTTAGTTTCTGTTGCAAACTTTTAACTGATTGATCAGGCTCCTCCTGTCACTCTAAGCTTTTTGGTTTAATTTCCCATGATCTGGTGAAAAAATCAAAATTTTAAAATCCATAGATTTTTTCTGATGAGCCTTCATTAAATCTGCTTTTGTCCAGTACATTCTGCCGCCGGTCGGCCCAGCGAGGACAGTTTGTCCAGCTGGTGACAGACAGATACTCTAGGGACACAGACACTGCAGGGAGGTTGGAGTCAATGTGAGTACTGCTCACGTCTCGCTTTCAGTTAAGTGATGCACAGGAGACTGTTGAGCACTTAATGTAGCAACTGCTAAGGAAAACATAACTATATCTGTCACTGAAAAATAACCATTCTATATAAATGGATATACTAATTAGGTGTTCGTTTACCTCCATAGACAACGTGAACATGGATTAGGGTTAGAAAAGAAAACTCAGTGAGGACAGATGAGGAGAGAGGAGGCAAGGAGAGGAAAATATTCAGGCAAGGGGAGCAGGAGAGGAGAGGACAGAGAAAGAGGAGACAAAAGCGACCTCTCTGTCAGGCTTCTCATCATGTTTCCCTCAAATTACCACCGGTTTGGTCTCACTAACACCAGGTTACAGTGGCTACAACAGAACTTGATGGGAACACTGTGCAGATGTTGCAAGGAGAACTAAAATGTTTGTGGAGGTGAGCAAGGTCCAGTTATATGTAATTTAAATGTAATATGTAATAACAGGAGTAGTTCTTCACTTGCCTCCTTTGACTAAAACCAAGCAGGACTTCATACCCACTGAGCCCACCAAAAGATCCCCACACTGGCAGGTTCATGTCGTCGTTCTGCTTTGATTCCACTGATTAAGTCGATTTCTTTCTCAGCATAAACAAGCACAGTGATTACAGCATTTCAAACTGTGCTCCTGCTCTTCACTCCACTCAGCCAAGTTTAGCCTCCAAAGAGCAGCACGCATTGTCTGTAGCTATGCCCCTCATTTCCCCACAGCAGCTCGACGGCGAAGACGCGCAAACATATTTGTTCTATTCACCTGTACAAACACCATCCGGATGGATCAGTGTGAAGTAAAGAGCAGAGAACAGCTTGTGCCAACATTGCGCGCACAGTTGCTGCACATCGCGCGTAATGATGCATTAGATTCGAGTTTGCCTGTTGACCTCCCCTGCCTGGAACTCCGCACATCAATTTGCACTAAATTTAATTGGATGCAGGCTCAAGGAGCTGACGCAACAACACGCACAACTGACCACTCCTGGCCAAAGAGGTCCCTGTGTCCAAATGAGCGCTTAAGAGAGGAGAAAACTGGCAGGACAGATGATGGAGATCAAGAGCGGTGCGCACCGACACAAGTTCGCCCCGATTACCAATTACAGTCACTTTAGCTGCTTTAATTAAAAACGCAAAGTGCAACTCAAACTGTCAGAACTCAATTACATAAGGCATTCGTTTAAAAACAGATTTTCGTTAGTAAATATCCACATCTATGGCGCCTGACATTTAGTAACCCGATAAACGCTAATAAATGAATTTGTCTTACCTTGGTTTATTTCAAATCAAGCAGACGACGGAATGTGGGTTCTGAAGAAAGACAATTAAAAAATATCCACTTTCCTCTGAAAAATAAGGACGAAGATTAAAGGAAAGAAAACAAGGGTGATCATGGGGAAAACATCCGGGCTCAGTCTCCTGCTGTCATCAGTTCTGACTCGTGCGTCTCCGCGAAGCGCTTGGTGGCAGAGGAAGCGCTCAGAGAGCGAGTGGATGATTTACAGCCTGATCAGACCTATTTGATATTGACGTCTGGTATGAAAGGGGTGGGATGAGTACTGGAGGAACAGGCTAATAGTTCATCTCTTCCAGCTGCTGTCTCTGAAATATCAAAAGAGCCTGTAAGGCTGATTGTGAGAGGGCAGGTCACAGACGGCGACGAGCTGCGCAGCAGGATGCGGCGCGTTTTACTGTGTGGCTGTAAACACAGGCACAATGAGTGATGCTGCTGAGGACATTAGTTCTGTGAATAATGTCCGACATGTACTGATAAAACCAATTTTAAACGTTGATCCCAAAGTATAGAAGCCCCAAGGTGCCAGAATTTAATGGAACAATTTAATGAAAAATTAGTTTCCAAATGAACAGTTCATTTGTGTATTAGGCCACTGAATTATTTAAAAAAATGTTAGCTTAAAGTCCAACCTGCAGCAGGTGAATAGAATATTTTGAATTTATTATATATAATGTGACATTTGTCTATATCATGTACAGCTTCCCAGGTTTTTCATTTTAATTGATAAAAATTAATAATTACATCATAAGATGTTGTGACTTATCCACAGCAAGTATGTGTTAAATTAATGAACTTGTTAAGCTAATAACAAAATTCTCTGTAAAGCATTACTGAAGTTGACTGCTCTTAATCTTATTGACACTTTGACACATACTGTACCTTAAAATTGAGACAATTCTTGAAGACCAGCAGCTTGAATCTACATCAGGAGTGTGAGAGAGAGGATGAATGGTGATTACTGGTTTTCATGTTTGATTCTCCTTAATCTCAACTGAGTACTTAATGCCCTGAATACTATTTACGTTTAGATTTTACAGCTGTGACTTTTCTGTATTAGATATTGCTTTTGCTGCTCTAGACATTTTATTATACACTGCTCAAAAAAATAAAGCGAACACAAAAATTTGACATTCAACTATGTTGTGTTCCCTTTATTTTTTTGAGCAGTATAGTTAAATGGCTGCAAAGTCATTTCACTCAAAGCCACAAATGTCAAACTCATGGTGGCAGTAGATGAAAAGGATTCACTCTCTGAAACAAGCAGCGTTTGTAACAATGTCATGGCAACCCATCCAGGATTTGTTCTGTAGGTATCTCAGTCTGGAACAAAGTGGTGGACCAATGGACAGGCTGCTGGCTTTAGGTTTTACCTAGTTTGGTTAAGGTGTTGTTGGGGTAATTTGGTTCAAAATAGGTTTGGTGATTAGAAAACATGCTGCAAATGAACAAATGAACACTTTCCTATTAGTACCAAACCCTGGCTTTCAGAGTTGGTAACTGCCCCACCTGCATTAGAGGAGAACTGATGATAGATATTTGTATTAGGGGTCAACAGACTTGACTTTTCATCCAGCCTACAAGGCTTCAGGCTCAAGGACAGACTGAGCAGCCTTTCATTTTAGAAGTTCTCCCTGAGCACCGAGGGCCAAGCCCTTGAAAGTTCTGTACATAATTTTAGTTTTGAACGGGCAGAGTGCACAAACAGATCAGAGACTTGTCTTGACCTCACTCAGACTTCCTGGATTGGTCTTTTATTTTGTTAATACAATTTTCTCTGGCCCATCCCACCTTCATCTTTCCCGGCTTTGGGGCAGCAGTGGGAGCATTTGGGTTTAGTACTACACCACACACCTCACAGCTTTGTTATGGATTAACATACTACCTCAGCTACACCCAAACTGCTGGGTTGACAGCACAGTAATGCTGTATTCCTGAATCTAATGGAGCTGAAGTTACACTGATTAAAAATAATTTCTTGTCAATGTGTGCAGCGTTCAGAGACGGCAACAGAATAGTTGTTTGTTTAAAACATGATTAAGGAGTTGAGCCTGCAGGTAGACGTGAGAGAGGTAGTTTTCAAAAGTTCTGGATGCATTTAAATACAAACTTAAGCGTAGGAGAGTGAATCCATGCATGTTTATTTGTTTTCTCGTCCTTTATCTCATCTAATGAACATGAGGTAAACAAAGCCAAACACTGCTTGGAAAGCAGGAAAAAAAAAAAGACCTGTCACCAGATTTAGGTTTGTCTGAGCTCCTCCAGCTTCACACTTGGCTGCTTCTTTATTACACAATTTAATTTTCATCTTTTTTTTGTTAACGTCATATTTAAGCATGCATATTTATTAATTGTCCTTTCACTGGCTGTGTTAGATTCTGATGCTCTGTTGCCTTTATTTAATACTGTATTCCAGCCGTTCTCTTATTTGCTTTGAATATTAATTTTGCTCTGCTGCAGGTTTTTTTTTTTTTTTTTTTTTTTACAATATCAGTTAATGCAGGTCCAGTCTTTCCCTGTCAGTTGCAGGCCTGTATCAGTCACCTGGTAGGATGACTTACGGTATCAACATCAGCCTGATTATTTTCGAATATTGTCAAATAATAGTGAAAACGTTTTGTTTCTTATCATCAAAACCTAGTGATAATCAGGTCTGTATGTGATAGACTGGCAGCCTGCCCAGGGTGTGCCCTGCCTTTGCCCGATTGCCCCCCCCCCCGTGACCCCGTTTGGGACTGAGCGGTGTAGAAGGTGAATGAATGAATGAATCAGGTTTGTGACACAGAAGCAGAAAATTCTCCAATTTGAGATGGTGGAGCCTTAGAAATTGTATCGATTTATTTTTAGATGATTTCAGTCAACCAATTGGCGATTAACTTATTTTTTTCAGCTGTGAAATAATGTGACAGTAAAAAGGATCAAGTTATGATTAGAAACTGTATTACTGTGGATATGCAACAATGGGGCAATTGGCACAGTGTTCCCCCCCAGAGACAGATTAGTTCGGTTTTATTGCACCAAGGAGATAAAGGTGGCTTCAGTTCATGCGACGGTCACAGGGCAACAAAAAAATAGCCACACTTGCATCTGGCATACATGCTGTTTGAGTAAAACCCATGCAAATGCAAAAACAAAAAGGGGAAAACTAATTCCATATACTGTAGATCCACAGCAGGGTGGTGTTCAGACTGCTTAATTTATCATGTAAGAAATAGTGACAACCCGGTAGGAATCTTACTTTGTTTGTTTTAACTCATTAAAGATTTGATGTAAAAATGACATGTTGGACAAATAACAGTCAAAGCTATTTAAAAGCTAATTTTCAGTGCATCTGTATGAATATAAAAGTTGAATTTGGTACAGCTTATCAAAATGAGTGCTGCAGTACTGGGAGTGTCCTTGTCTGGAGAAAACAGCACTGGCCTTGAGTTTGTGTTCTCCTGACAAACAGCCTCTTGCTAATCATGACTTGACATTGTCATATTGCACATCCAGAGAAGTCGCATGACATTGTTTAAACACTGGAGATAGTCATAGGGCTCAGCAACATCGCAGAAACAGAAATTCAGAGCAAAATCAGTTCATTTCAGTGGAATCGTCTGATTGGTGGATTTGGTTGTGGAGGCCGTGTAAGTCTGTGTGGTTCAGAGGTCAACTCTGACACACAAACTGAAGGTCTACGGACAGAAGCTGTCATATGCTGTCAGGGGCTGTAAAGGCAAATTGTTGATGTTAGATATTGGTCAATATAAATAAAACCGACATAATATTTTTGGCAGTTGAGTTTGAAGGTTTATTTTTGATTTTGGGAACAGCAGCTTGACAAAACAAAATCCTAACACAGAGTCCCTGTTACTGTTTTCATGGTCCTCCTCAACAGGCTGAGTTCCCCAGTTGTGTTGGTGGTTTAGCTAACATTCTCTGAAAATCCAATTAGTTTTTCTTGCCTAAACTTGGGGTTTAGGAAATTAGTTCTTCAGGAGATGCCCAGCACTAATTTAAGGTCAGGCCTTGTGTTGTGGTCAGAAACACTGTGGACTGTGTATTTTGTGAAACATAGAGTTCCCTGGGAGGAAAAGGCTTAAATATACAGAATTGGCTCTGGAGGCAGAGGAGTGTGGCTGAAAAGTCAAGGTCCGCCCATTGTCAGAGTTTTGTTGGCAAGTCAGTTTTTTCCCCTGTTAGATGAGTTGGGGTTTAAAATAAAGCAGAGCCTAAGGCAGATGGTGGAAAACATGTCTGACAGTGCAGCAAGCTCAAGTGAATGACTCTGGAAGAAAAGAAAGGTGTGTGACTTGTCATCCATGTTGAATTAAAAGTTTACTTTTGACTTTGATTTGATTTGATTTATTCTTTCAAGCATGTAAAACAGTTGATATGACAACACACATAATTTTACACATAATCCAATATCAATTTGCTTATACCTAGTACATGCTTGAATGGATTAGGAAGAAGTCAGACTTATCCAGTCCTACCCCATGACATCATCTTACCATCATTGGTTTGCAAGCAATAAATGATTCACTTCT